ACGCCAAGCATTCCTTTGACCAGTACTCGCTCGTTCATCCCGCCCTCAAGGATGATCAGGACAGTCACAACCCATCACAATGAGGCCGACAAGTATTGGGAGTCATTATGCAGTACTCCTACCGATGAATACAGCGAGCAGCTCAGTGCATTTGGATACAGCCCCACCGGCTTTACTAGAGGTAAGCATGTCTTACATCCATGTCACGCAGTCCAGCTGCATGTCACAGTAACATATCCTGTACAGCTATGTTATGCGGACCGTATAACCGAAGCGATGTTGGCTGAACTCAGTGGCCATAAATTTGGGGTTCACCTGTGTCCAGTTCTTAGCAGCTTTGGCATATATTTCACAGGGAGCGTAAACTTACAACAGAGTCCTCTACTAATTGTGCAATAGATGTTGACAGCGGATCAGACTCGCTCGAAAAGCCTGCATTCTCGTACAACACGCGTCCAGTACCTGGCAATATGTCTGAAAGGAACATCGAAGCGAAGGGCGAGATGCAGACGCCTGATATGTGGAAACCGCAAAAGAAAGAGCTGCTCATCATGGTCAGCTTGAGCTTCATATCGTTGATGGTGGCTCTGGATGCTACAATCCTGGTCACGGTATTACCTGTCGGTTGAAAACTCTATCCTTCTCCCTTTTCAAGATGTGCTAATAATGTATAGGTAATTGCCCAGAAGCTGAACGGTACCGCTGCTGAAGCTTTCTGGACAGGAACGTCGTATCTACTCACCTCGGCCATCTTTCAACCAGTCATTGCATCAGTCTCCGCTGTCTTTGGTCGTCAACAACTTCTCATCACCTCGCTACTTTTCTTCACGACAGGTACTATCCTATGTTCCGTCGCGGACAACTTCACTACGTTGCTCGGAGGGAGATGCATCCAAGGAATCGGCGGCGGCGGAATCATAACGTTGACGCAAGTTATCTTTTGCGACATTGTTCCCTTGAGACAGCGCCCGAAGTACTTCTCCATGGTTCTTGGTTGTTGGAGTATTGGATCGATCGTCGGTCCAGTAGTTGGTGGTAAACTTGTCGAAAGCACGACTTGGCGATGGGCATTTCACATCAATTACCCGTTTTGTGGAATCGGCTTCATTGTAGCAATCTTCTTCGTCCACCTCGATGCAACATCGAAGCTCACATTTCAGGAGAAGCTCAAGCGAGTTGACTGGCTGGGTGCGGTACTCTTCGTTGGCAGCATGACGAGCTTGCTCATTGGAATATCTTGGGGCGGCATTCAACATCCCTGGGACTCAGCTGCAACACTTGCGCCCATCATTGCGGGACTGGTAGGGATTGCTCTGTTCTTCTTATGGCAGGTTTACAGGAAGGAGCACACCCTGTTGCCGCTGGCAGTTTTTGGCAGCTGGAGCGCGATTGCCGCTTTCTACAACTCGCTGATCAACGGCCTGCTCGTAAGTTCATATCTAATTGTTACCCAGACACATACTGACGTATCAAGCTCTTCACCACCTTATACTACTGGCCGTTTTACGACATGAGTGTTCGGGGCAGATCTCCAACTCAAGCAGGTGTTGATATGCTGCCTGTCTGCCTCCTCACAGTGCCTAGTTCTGTCGCAGTTTCAGTTTTGACGTCGCGCCTAGGACGATTTCGATGGGCAATCTGGGGTGGTTGGGTCATCACTACGCTTGCTTGCGGATTGCAAATCCTTCTCGATGTGGATTCGACAACTGTGATTACCTCAGTGTTCCTTGCCATCCTTGGTATTGGCATGGGCATGGTACTTACAAGCCTCAATGTTGGCATCCAGGCTATTTCCAAGCCGGAAGACGCGGCGATGGCCGCAAGTATGTACGGCTTTCTCCGAAGTCTAGGAATGCCGCTCGGTGTTGCCGTAAGTTCAGCCGTCAGCTGACTCCCCTACACGATGCTGACTCATCCAAGCTCGCAGGAACCATTTTCACGAACTCAATGTCAGACAAACTTTCTGAGCTTGGTCTGCCTACATCGATCGCTCACGACTCCGAGCAATATATCTTCGTCCTACGTACTATGGCCGATTCTTCCCAGAAGAGTGCCATCTTATCGTCGTATATGAAAGGTTTCGATTCGGTCTTCATCATGACCACAGCTGTTTCCGCTAGCGCCCTAGTCGTCAGCTTGATCATTAGAAAGTACAGTATGGATAAGATTCTTCTCGCGCAATTTTCCGCGCGATGAGTCGCGATCAGGTATTGGAATACTGTTTCTGGTGGTATCGAAAAGTAATTTTGTTTTCAATTCTCTTCTGCAAGGAGGCACGAGCTCGCAAAGGCCCACTTGGGGTAGCTCGTTGCGTATAGGGGCTATACGGCGTTGGTTGAGCAAGCCTGACGATGCCGCGCATTCTCAGCGTGTCCATTTAGAGCTAGGTCGGTCTTGCTACAGATAGGAAATTCTGTTTCCGTGGGTGGCACAATGGTGTTTGTTCTGATTGCGAGCGAAAGCTATGCAACATACATAAGATTCGATGTATAAAGTCTGCAAACATCTTACATATAGTTTGTATATAGAGGATACATGCCTCACAAGTAGCTGCTGAGGACCAATCAGTGATACCCTCGTATTGAAGGATAAAATTGTCGCAAAAACACATGACAGAGGGGACTTGTCTTCTGTGTACGCTTGTTCGGAGAGACGCGGTTTTGGTAGATCTACTGTTATCCATACACCTGAAATATATCTGTCAAAGTCAATATTTGAACATAGAATCCTCTACCTACTCTCATCTATTGGCTACCGCTTCGTTGTTGTCTTTTGCTCCTTTGCATCATCCCTCATCTCCTGCTTGATCCTGCTGATTGTGCCAGCACCGCCATAGATCATGGCGGTATATACCTGTGCCACACTCGCTCCAGCATCGAGAATCTCTCTTGCTTGGCGTCCGTTTGTGATGCCGCCCGTGGCGAATATGACCTTGCGTGGTGCGTTTGGTGCAGGTGCAGTCTTGGGTGTAGAATGAAGGGTCATGGTAGGTGCCGATTCAGAAAGGTCGTCGACGTTGGAGGAGAGGTCTGTTGGGGCCGGTTGGTCCAGGTCGAGCGTTGGCTTGGTCATTGAGGAACCGGTAGAGGTGGACGAGGCGTCAGATGGCGGTGCGACATGCTTGGGGCCTTCGTCGAGTGCTTTTCTGTACCTGCTGACCAGGGCAAGTGTGCGCTCGAAGGTTTGTGGTCCCGAGTATCCGCCTTGCTCGAGAAGCAGCTTTGCCTCTGATTCAGGAAGCAAGTAGCCCTTGGGCAGGGGGTCTGGTCGCTTCTTCGTCGTGTTACCAACGATGACGCCGTCGACACCCGAGTCCCAGACGGCCTCGCAGATGCCAGATACCTGCTCTTCTGTGTCCTCATCTGGACTGACTTTCACCATGACAACAGGCTTTGTCTTGCGATCGATTTTCTTGACTGCTCCTACAACTCCAGAGAGTAGTCGTGTCAAGGGCTCGACGTTCTGGAGAGTGCGAAGGCCGGGCGTGTTAGGTGAGGAGACATTGACGACGAGAATATCAGCGTACTTTCCGACATGGCCCACGGCGGTCGCGTAGTCGCGCACTACAGCATCGATATCGTTTTCGGAGGTCGTCTTGTTCTTCGCAACCTGGACAGCCATGAGACGTCCCTTGAGCAGCGAACCAGGTGGAACACCGGCTTCGCCGTCGAGGACCCGGCGCTCTGCGTCGTCATCTAGTCCAAGCCCGGCGTGGTAGGCAAACTCCCTGACACGTTGTCGTAACCTTGAAGCAACCAGCTCGGCGCCTTCGGAATTGAATCCATAGCGGTTGATGAGCGCGTTCTGGCTGGGGATCCTGAAGACGCGTGGTTTTGGGTTGCCTTCTTGCGGCAGTAGTGTAACAGCGCCGACCTCTACTACTCCCGCTCCAAGTTCGAATAACGGTGTTGGTACCTCGGCGCCCTTGTCGATGCCGGCAGATGTTCCAATCGGGTTGTTCAATGTGTGTCCAAAGACTTCGACAGCCAGATCGCCCCGTGAATCAGCCACGCCACGTTCTCTGGGGTTCAAGCCGAAGCTATGCAGCACCTTGAGCATGTGCGTCCCAGCGTGGTGCGCCTCCTCTCCATCGGGGTATATTAGGCGTAGTGCCGGCACAACGAGCCATTCGTGGATGCTTGCGCGCGTGTCGGTGGCGTATAGGTAGCCAAACGTACCACCGAGTGCCAGAAGGGTGCCGTACACGAGGTTCTTGGTGCGAGTGCCTGTCGATCGAACGTTGGTCGCGGCCTCGGTGGCTGTCGTGACACGTCTTGTGGGGTGCTGCAATGCGCGGTTCGAAGGGCGGCAGCGTGGTATCGAGGGCCGCACGCGCAGAGCACGGATGTGGGCGGCGGTGTTCATGGTAAAGAGCGTAATAGGCAGCCCATGCGACGCTCAATGGCTGCGCAATCGCCTTGTCGAGATGAAGATGCCGAGTTGGACCCGTCAAAGGAACTTCGGAAACCACCAATGACGTGGGCTTGGCAACCACCCATATCTTCTCCTTCCAAGACCATCTCGTCACATGGCCACTTTGCTACCAATTTCTCTTTAAGCAGTCACTCGTTCCCCACAGCATCACCCTGGCCTCCTCATCTATTAGATTACCCGTAGCTCAAGAGCCGAACAAGACCCGGTGGTGTTACACCTACTCATATGGAGAAACTACTACTCTCAAGAATATTGCACCAATCGCATTTCCCAAACCGTGTGTAAAGACTAGCCAGTTCACTGCAGGCGTATAGACCTTGAACCATGATTCTACCTGCTTGCGGGGAGCCATGGTCCCACAAAACAAGCATTCATAAAGCTTGACCATCTTAGCTATTCTCCTCTGCTGTTTGACATACAGGAATCTCTCTAGAATTGACAGAATGCTTCAGCTCAAATTTCTCCATCTGTGTTTTCTTATCGTTCCAGCGCTGGCTGGGATGACCAAAACCGGCTCCCTTTGTACAGTTACCCCGTCCGGTTCCAAGGATGATAGTCCTTACATGATGGACGCCTTCAAGCAATGCGGACAAAACGGTCAGATCGAAGTCACAAAAGGTGACTATACCATCGCCAAAGTAATGGACGTCTTGAACCTGAGAAACTGCGACATCTCTATTCGCGGCAAACTGACCTGGAGTGATGATATTCAATATTGGGTCAAGAATAGTGTAGGCGTGACGTATGCTCAGCGAAGTACAGCGTTCCGCCTAGGGGGCGAGAACTTCACTCTACAGGGACACGGCGAAGCGCTTTTCTTTGGCAACGGGCAGAAGTGGTATGACGCAAATCGTGATGGAAGCAATATGGCTGGTCGGCCGATTAGCTTGACACTCTGGCAAGCGAAGAATGTATGGATAGATGGAATCACTTGGAGACAGTCACAATTCTGGTACGTTTGCAACAAGATAGCAACAAGTACCATTCTACACATGAACATATTGCTGACAGAGCAGGCACACGTTTGTCGCCTACTCGCAGAACGTCACCATGACAAACCTCGACATGAACGCCACTTCGTCTTCACAATGGGGCACTGTCAACACCGATGGCTTCGATAGCTGGAACTCACAAGACATAGTGCTCAAAAATTGGGTTGTGACATGCGGTGATGTAAGTCTTGATGCTCCTCTCCTCCGTCGTAGTTCTAATATCTCCAAAGGATTGCATATCGGTCAAAGGTAACAGCAAGAACATTTACGTCAAAAACGCAACCTGTTACGAGTCCGGTGCCATGGTCATCGGATCAATGGGAAACCCCACTAACGTTCCTGAGACGGTTGACAATGTACTTTTCGAAGACATTACTGCAATTCATAGTTCCAACGCAGCTTGGATCAAGACGTATCCCGGTCAAGGCCATGTCAAAAACGTCACGTTCCGCAATATCAAGTTTCAAGACGTTAATCAACCCATCTACGTCTCGCCTTGTATTTACAGTTACCAAAACTGCGACTCGAGTCGGTTAAAGATTAGCGACATTACGTGGGAGAACATCACAGGCACTTCAAGATACAACGTGGCTGCAGCGATTTATTGCAGTCGCGGAGTACCTTGCACGGGTCTGAAGTTTAAGAACATTGATATGTAAGTGTGCCAGTACGAACTGCATGTGAGACATACACTGACGTGGTACGCCCACATCTAGCAAGCCTAAGAATGGAGGCACTGCGAAGATACTGTGTTCAAACATGAACAGCGACAGTGGATTGGCATGTACTGGTACGTGTCCAGCGGGATGGAAGCAGCAGTTGAGCGGAAACGCGTAAGAATAGAGTAGCATACTCGGAGCGCTTAGCTACTACCTACATACAAATCATCCAACTCCTTCTCATACATTTCCAACAAAGCCTTCTTCTGCACTGTCCCTTTGGCCGTTTTTGGGAACGGTTCTCCCACGACTAGTATCATCTCTCTGCCCACGCGTGCATACACTGGCGAGTCTTTGTTCACATCTTCCACCACGCCCCAGATATCACTCACCTGCACGCCATCTTCCAGCCTCACAATCAATGAAGCTACCGGCCTCCTTGTACCCACCATCACCACCTCCGCGACACCAGAGTGGCTCGCAATTCTCTGTTCCGCCGCCGTTGGAAAGAACTTTTCATTCGTGAGAAAAACCAGAAGATCATCCGCACGGCCATAGTGTTTCCATTGCTCTGGGTTTCGGGGATGTTGCGTGAACAAATCCCCGAGTCGTCGCTCTTTTGCGTCTGGGAAGATTGAGAAGATGGGTTGGACATAGCCATCATGCTCTGTTCCATTATTCCGGATCATAACGGCTTCGTATAGTGTGGTGCCGTCTGTAGATGTGGAAACAGGGTCAAACCGGATATTGGAGGCTGGATGGAAGGTGGTGTACTCCCAGTATGCGGTTTGCGATAGATCAGTACCGCTCGGACGAATAGTGGGCCAGATACTAAGTTCCGTTGACGCCATGGAGTTCAAAATGGACATTTGCGCTGCCACGGATTCGCCTGCGGCTCGACTCACGCTACCGCCACCCCAACCTACTTGTCGTGTTCTCTGGCTCATCCTACGTATGGCCTCTGGGCTCTTGCCCAGATACTCGAATAAGGGAGGCACTAGTGCCACACAGTCTGTCGCTACGCCTCCGTCTCGTGCGGCAATAACGTCTAGCGCCTTCAGAGCGCCTTCCACGCCCGCTTCGGGCGTCGTCCATGTTGGTGGATAGATCGCCGTCCCACCGATTGTCAGGGGAAACAGGACCATCCCGATCATGCCACTAGCATGAAATGGAGGGAAAAGGAGCATTATTCGCCTACCTCTCCCTTCTTTTCTACTGTAAAGAAGCTCTTCCTGCAGGTCATAGCCTGGGGGTGCGTCAAGGTTCATGCTTCGTCCTGCGCTGTTTGCCCACTCATGGGTCCAGAGTATGGGTTTGGGGAAGCCGGTTGTACCAGATGTATCTGAAATGTGCGGTTAGGATCTGGAAGATCAGGACGACGATGTGTATACGTACGAAGGCAGATCAATGGTTCTTTGCTATGCTCTTGAAACGTCTTTTTGTATGGATATGGTTCTGCGGCCGACTTGAGAAGCTGCTCAACACCTGGTATCTGGAGTGTCTTCATGGATCTCTTCGATAGGACTCCTTCTACGACTGGTATTGGTACCTCCGGTGTTAGCATGACTTTCGCATCCACGCTCTCTATCAGTTTTACCAGTGCTTCAGCTCCATAACGTGGCGAAGGGAAGAGCATCTTTTGTCATGGTCAGTTGAGTCAACTCCCTAGTCTTCAACGTTCAAGGGAAGCCTACCTTGTAACCTGCAATCACACTTCCCAGGCAAAGCACTGCATAACGTATATCATTCGGCCCCATGTACACCAACGTCTGTTCACCAGTCTTCTCTTCTTCGCTCAACTTCCCGACATTTTCTTCGATCCACCATGCTATTGCATGAACGGCATTGGCTACTTCGGCGAAAGCGATTTTACGATACCCGTCTTCAATCCTGTTCGGGTCGTTGGGGAATTCTACGTATGTAGCGGAAGGGTTCTGAGCCGCAAGCCTAAATAACGTGTGCGGAAGGAGTTCATTGATAGGCGGCGACCAAGGAGTAGGACGTGGTGCATTCATGATGAGTTGTTGGAGTATCAGAAGAGACAGAACCGGGGAGGGATATAGTAAAACTATATGATGGGCAGGATAGAAGGTCTTGGATACCTGGGCTCACATCATATAATCTTACCCCATCATTCCACGTCTGACACTAGTCGCAACATTGTATAACACTTGCATGTATGACCGCGTAACCGCGATGACTTTGTTGCCCAACAAGGCTTTCCTAGGATACGTGGTGAAACTTCGGCTTCTCGACTTGGGTTAGAACTCGATTTGGTATAGCTATGGTGACCAGTCGGAACATCTCCTTAGGCTTCACTCCGCTCACTACAGACTACTGCTGGGGTAGTCATACAGTAGTGCGGGGCTTTATAGGCCAGTATAGTGCGTACGTAAGCACGGCAGGACCGAATGATCGACTAGCCCATATGAATGTCTGAGCGCTAGATGTTTCAAAAGTGTAAACTTCCAAAGGCGTCATTAGATTGACATGTCGAAAAGGTTTCCTTTGTGGGGAAGCCGCAAAACCATGCGGGCGCCGTCTTGCGCCACAATAAGAGTTTGTCCTCGAGAAAGGAGAAGAGAGAGGAAAGAGATTCTGAGTAGCTGCGGGTATAGAACTACGACCATCGCTGACAATTGTGCAAGCATAACGATATGATATCCAACAAACGCCATCCGGTGCAGATATTATAAATCTCTTTCAGACACTTAGGTTGGGGTTAGATCTCAAGTTGAAGACAGGTGCGCCCATCGCGCATCTGGATCTACCTCACCATCTTCACTAAGATGCTGTCAGCGCACGTGTTCTACGCCCTGCACTATTGATCCCTCCACTCGACATACCTACCACAGTACACGCGGACCAATGAAGTCTCGCAAACCTACCAATCATAAACCCATCCCGAGTTGGCTGTCATGAACTCCTCACAAGCCTCCTTGAGTGCTATGTTTGGTCTCAGATCACCAATCGTAAGTGTCTCTCTCGTCAGCGGGTCTGTAGGACTCCGTTTGAGGTGCTCAATCAGCGTGGCGCGCTCATACGATCTGCCGTTCTTGGTAACAACGGGATCATGCATAATCTCAAATGTTATGCCATCAACGAGGTAATCTGGTACTTCGCGTTTCTGCTGATGTTCCGGATCTGATATAGCAAAGGCGGTCCGTAGATCATCGCGCTTCTTCTCGAATTCCGTCTTGCGCTCCGCTTTCTCTTCCTGCCCGTCTGATCGACTAGTTTCCCCAGCCTCCATGCGTGCTTCGATGTCATCCATGTCCTTTTTGAATTGTGTCTCTAGCATAGATTCAAGGTCGGAGAGGAGATCGCCGCGCCGCCGTATCCGTTCTCGTTCGCGGATATCCCATTTAGCTTTCTTGCATTTCAGAACGAGGGCAGATATGGTGGCTGCGTTTGAGGTTTGTTGCGCCGAAGTGGTACATAGTTCGTAGGCCATGAGACTTGAGGAAAGAGCTTCGTTGGGGTGATTTATGGCGAGTTGGGCTTGTGCTGCACTGTTGTTAGCCTTAAATGTGCTGTTGCAGTGCTTGGCGCATCTGCGCAGAGGGTGAAAGCATACCGAGATAGAAGAAGGCCTTCATGTTGTCCTTCAACAACTCGATGCTCCGTATGCAGTCATCAATCACACCTTCCCACTTCTCCAGCTTCAGCCTCGCATTCGCGCGATTCGTGAACAGCAGAGGGTTCGCTGAGTTCTTCTGGATGGCCTGCGAGTACAGCGCCTCAGCTTCTTCATAATCGCCATTCTTGAAGCACTTGTTGCCGGAGTTCTTAAGCTGCTCGGCGGCATATTCGTTGCCTGGCGGAGGCATAACGGGGTCAGTGACCAGGCGATAGAGGGGGTGAGGCTGCAGGTTAGTCAACGGAAGTGATGGCGGACTTAAGCTTCAATGATTGGTAGCGCCGCGGGGGTGGGGCGGTTTTGTTGCGCCTCGGTATGGAAGCTTCGAGACGGCGACGACGATGCTGATGTGAGCAGTCCGGAGTCTTCGGATGCCATCGGTACCTGCAGACAAGGCCCTGATCAGTTGTTGCGATATCGAAGAGCTTCCAGCACTGCGTCGCCGTGTGCTGTATGCGCCACGTACACTTTGGTGTAAACACGCACACAGCCACGCCATCGTCACCTTGGTGGGACACGAGAACATCTGTCGCGTGCCGTGGTCAGTCGCGACGTGGAGGATAACTACCAGTCAAAATTATACACTACGATCCTAGACACTTAGAGTTGACATAGACTACACTACCATAGTAAACTTATCCCAATCGCCGCATCTCTCCAACACACAGGCCAAACATACCAAAGTCGCTAGTCCGTCAAGTGGGGCACCGCCGCGCTTTCTTCTGTCGAGTTCACAACGTCCACTGCGTGCGTCTTTCCTTCGTCTTCGCCTTCGCCCTTGGAGTCTCTCCTGTCTTCCCTATAGAGGTTCGGATAACTTCTCTGTCGCCGAACCGCACCACCCTCATCCGTCTCTTCACCCCTGTGCCGACTGGGCGGTGCACTTCTCTTTCGGAATCTCCTTTCATCTTCGTCGCTTTCGACGCAAGCATCATCGGCTTCTAACAATGGACTCCTAGTCCTTCCTCTGCTACCACTTCTGTTGCGAGCCCGCCCCCGGAATGTATGATCCGGCTCGGCATCACTGCGCCTTCTAGTCTTCTTCTGGGCGGATGTCGGCGGAGAGATAGAAGACGTCGGAGACGAAGGTCGGTGGTGTTTGCGGTGATGCTCTCTGTATCGGGAGCCGCTGCGGCGATCGTGGCCGCGAGATGGTGAGGATGCACGGCGTGGAGAGTGCTGTGACGACTGCCTACGTCGCTTGAGTCGGCCGCGTTCTTCTGCGTCTACATCTGGTTCGACGATGGTAGGGACATCTGTTGTCATAGTCTGTAGAGGCGCGGGCTCCGTTGGCGGGTCCGACATCGTGACTGCTGACATTGGGGGAATTGAGGTTTGACAGGCTCAGCTCAGCTATAAAGGGTGAAAGGCAGTACGCCAGAAATCAGTTGGTCTAGGCATATCAGAACCGTAGAGTCTGAGGGGTGCATTAGTTCCGCCTGACGCAGACGGGCCGTTTGGATGAATGATCGCCTGGGCCTGCATGTGAGCAGTAGTTCAAGCGTCAGATGTAGGGTGTAGGGCAGGTGCGACGTCATTTGCCTAAGCGCCTCAAAGCGCTAGCCTGGTAGGGTCGCTTCAGTTTCCATCGTCGTCAGTATCGCGACATCAACACCACAGTACGTACACACAAGTTCCAAGTCTCATCCATGGGGTCACACACTATTTGTGCTGCGTTCAAAACTACCATACATGTTCGCTACACCAACTTGAGGGATGGCATTTCATCCACGCTGCAAACAGCTCGTCAGCTTGCTCATACTCACATTCGATGTACGAACGATCAACACTTGGTCAGATAGAACGGTCCAGCGGTAATGACTTTAGGGTACCAGATGGACAAACTACTATGATCGAAGATGTCATAGACAGCCTTTTGCTGACACCACAGTCTGTTCGACCCTCTCTAGACAGTCTACTCGTTTTAGATAGAGCCAAGTTTTCCTCATTCATCTTGGCTTACAACAGACATCTGACGACTTCGGGAGCTGCGGAACCGTGGCTTACACAACACAAGGGCAGCGGCGAAACTATTTTCGTTCTCGGGCTACACAGGGCTACCGCTGCATTGCTCGTCTATGTACGATGCGCAGCGACACAATCGGATATCTTGATAATCAAACCCTCAAGGCATGTAACATGCTACTTTTCGACTTCATCTGGCTGTAAACCACGCCGTGTTCTTCGCATACATACGCATACTTCAAGGTCATTCTACACATGATTTGTTAGGACCAATATGCAAGATGCAGATTTGGGTACACTCTACCCTCTATGTTCGCATAAACATTTAGTGCAGCACAAAACACTCAAATGACACCAAAGATGCAGTATAATAAAGGCTAGTATTGCCACGTAAAAGACCCCTCGCTATGTGGGATAGAAACCCTTTTGGTAGTAAAAGTAAAAAATCACACCTTGGGTGGAAAGGTAAAAGTGTCACACCCATAAACACCTGTCTAGCGCCTGACGCTTCTAAAAAGTTCCAGTAACAACTTCACCAACTACGCATCATGCTGTTGTTGCAACCCGTGATGTTCCTTCTCCTCACTCTCGCTCTCCCTCGGAACAGCAAAGCTCTTTCTGATAGCCATATCTGCCTTAGTCTTGGTCATCAGCGCATCACGGATGTCCTGTTTACTCCTTCCGGCCCATGACGTGTAGTTCTTTTGGCTGAGGGGCCAGATGGGCATGTTACCGTCGCGACGCATGAACTCACGGGCGGTAGGAGCAGGCTGGGCGGTGATGGTGTCAATGTCCATCTCGAGCTCTTCACAGTAGGCCTCGAGGGGTAGATCATTGACGTCGTGTCCGAAGGGGTTTTCAATTTCGCGGCCAATGGCTGAGAGACCGATGCTAGATGGGTTGTTAGATTCGTGTATGAGTGGGGGATGTATATTCGACAAAAACTTACATAATGTAGGCAGCGAAGATACAACCTGGGATAGTGATCCAGCGGAGGTCATCCCAAAGTTGGAAAGGCAACATCATAACGTAAACCCATGTGATTTGCGAGATGGCGATAGAGTAGGCGATAGGTAGAGGAGTTTGCAGGACACGGTCCATACCAGTAAGGGCCTCGTTCAGCTGTACAATACCGGTGATAGCTTGGTTCTGGTAGAGACCGACTTTGAGCGTTTCATTGTCGATGATGCTGTGGACGTAGCAGGAAAGGTGGTTCAGAATCTCAAGAGACAAGTTACCAAGAGGCTTCTTGGAACGCTTAATCCTCTTGCGGGGGTTGGACTCTGCGAATGTAACACCAAGGTATTCGCCAACGGCCTTGATCTTCTTCTTGTCGCCCGGCTTGGGGATTTCGAGGTCGGCGGCGCGGGCAAAAGTATCCAGGTATTCGATGCGGTCGCGAAGATCAGGGTAGTCGATACCAGGCTCGAAGCGGAGCCTGTGCTTTACAGAGCAGGCAAAGGCGTTAAGCAGGTTGAGCGCAGAGAGCTTGTTGAGCAGGTCCTCCTTTCCAAGTTCGCCTTCGCGCTCAGCAGTGTGGTACCAGATTGTTCGTGCCATATTCTGACTGACGAAGATCAACTGACTCCAGTATTTTCGGCCCTCGGTGTATCGCTCATACGCAGTGCTTGTTCGGAAGGAAATAGCAAGACCGACGACGAAACCGAGCACGGTCAGAAGGAGTGTGCTGACTTTAAGCTCAAAAATGAACTGTGAGACGCATGTAATCAAGGTAGACCACAGAGTCACTACTGTGAGTGGTATTATCATCTTAGGAAAGACGGAACCGTGCATTCGCATAAAGTACGGCCATTTGCTGTGCTTGGACAGGTCGCGAGGACCAACCTATTGCTTACTGTTAGCAAGCTGTAAGTCTACAGCAATTGTGAAGAACCCACAAAGTAGTCCTCAGCATCCAAGCTACCATTAGTCTGCCTTCGTGACGGGACTTGATATGTAACAGTACGGTGTCGCCATGACCGCGGTGATATTGGTCCGTCAAACTCCTCGTTTGGCTTGGCTGAACCGCTTGTCGAAGGTGGTATTTCGATGTTATCTGGCCGAAGCGTCTTCGTAGTCGAAGCGTTAGACGCAGCCATGGTATCGGTGAGTCTCAGGTTTAGAGTAAGCAACCGTCCAGCAGTTGAGAGTAATGCTTTTGAAAGGACAGTATATGGTCAATGCTAGCGAGTGTGTAGAGATGATGGAGTGTTTTGTAGAGACTGGGAATAAGGAATAAAGAGAGGGAAGGAATGACAGAAGCAAGAGTATGTAAGTAATGAATCAAGCGAGCAAATCGTCCCGTCAGGAGTAAGGATCTCCAACTCAATGTTTAAATATAAAACACGCGTATCTGCACCTCGCACAAAAAATCCTCGCAAACCCATGGCGCCCACGGGGATTCGCTCCCGCATCTTTGGCAGCGCCATCATGGTCTAACATGCGATCCGCGACACACGTTGGCATGCAGGGGCCGTCTTGCACATTGTGCCCCTGAGCCAGACAGACGCGGTCTGGCCAATCGAGTGTGGGGTGCAGTGGAGTCTCTTCGTAAAGTCGAGCATGGCGACGAATGACGGTAGGGGCGCAGCCTGAAGCAGCAAGGGGCGTGACGCGGAGGCCCTGTTTCACGAAACGTATTCCGCCGTGCCAAGCGCGCCACTGAAAGTGTTGGATGCGATGTAGTCAGCGCTGGCACGCCTCATAGCTTGACTTGTTATCCGCCACTATGTTCGGACCGCTATCGATAGCGATCTTTGGAACACTATAACTGGTATGAAGACGGCTGCATAATAGGACGTGCTGGTGCGGACAATTCGTGTTCGATCGACAAGACTTTGTGTCAGGATAAATGTTCTCGTCGATGTTGGGGTGGAAGGTCCAGACTAGGGCGTGCCGAACCGAGGCTAAAATTACCCCTGACAACGTCGACGAATGGGAACGCTCGCGAACGATTCAATGTGAAAAAGCCTCGTCAGCAACTTCAAGAGCATTGGGAAACTACTCAGGCGGGCAATTTGGAGATTGGCATGCAAGAGGGCCTCGGCAAGCTAGCTACGACGCCGCATCCGCAGCGACGCGGAACAGAAAGGCTAGCTTGACTATAGGGGACCTCGTCTCGATGAACCCGCAGCATTAAACATGTCAAGCACGACGTGTGCATTACACAAAGCTACAGAACGGTTTTGCTTCGTGCGCGTTCTTCTAGACACATCGAAAACGCACAGAGCCTTTACCCAGTCGCTTCATCTCCGAACGCTCGATCACTGTTCCCACATCGCTATGAATCTCCGATCAGAGAAGGAAAGAAAGCCCTTGGCTATTCTAGCGGCCTACCTCCTCTCGATTCTCCTCATCTCGGCTCTTCCTCTTTCTAGCTCGACAGCCAATTCTCTCGTCTTGAAAGTCTTTCCATCTACACAGACGCGGACTCTGTTGATCTTCTCTAGTAGCATGCGATAGTAACGTGCCTGATAATCAACCGTGTTGAAGTCGTTCGCAGTCCAGATCTTTTGCCAGATGTTGACCAACTCGTGGCTAATAATGACAATAGGGCTCTCTGGTTTGAAGTACATATCGTGATCCATATCATTGCTACCATCTGGACTGGAAGTCTGGGAAGTAGTGCCCAATAGGCATGCAGGCAGCAAATTCAAGACGACTTCGTCAATAAATGCTACCTTTCGACTCCTATGAATGGGGTCCGGACCTTGCTCGAATATATGCTTGAGGACTGCGCATATCTCCCATGCAGTTTGATCATGAGGAGGGAGTCCGCCTGTCTCGGCTGGTGTAAAGAGGCGAATGTCTATCCGTAGCTGCTCAATACTCGTTGTGTAGGCTGGTGTCTTCGCGACGTTGCCGACAACGTGGTGATACATTCCACGACCAAGAAACAGAGACGCCCAGCTTGATAGGAACCCACTAAGCCACACGTGCCTATCCTCATCTCCGTTTCTGGGCGACTTGTTCTTTTTTGTCCTGACGAGTGGCAGGGAAAGCCAAGTGAAGTAATGTGTTCCATCAATTTCCACACAGTCCATGCATGCAGCAAGCCCCCATTTCCGGTTCGCTCTTGCAATGATTTGCATCAGTTCCTCATTAATTTGACGGTTGCATGCCAGGAAGCTAGCACAGGTGGGCGGTGTGCCCTGTGATGCGATTAAACAGCCATTTTCCCACGGCCCCTCGGGTTCCCGTACGCGGCACCAGCCAGTTGCTGATTGTGTGTCCTTCAGACTTGGAGAAGGTCGACAGGATAAAAGCAGCTCTGTATATATCGCATCGCGCAATTCGCGGGGAAGATCTAGGAACCGTACCATTTTCGATTAAATGTTTACTCTGCTATCACAGTCATGCAAGGATTACAATGCAGCTGTCAATGTAGAGACGTCAAATCCACATCATCTCCACTGTATTGGAGTCTCGCTTGTCGCCCTCAGTACAAGACGTGATCCGAATCCGAAGTCTGGGGTAATACAGGGATGGATGGCGCCTTTCTTCTCTTCTGCGGTGGCGAGTCTGATGGCGTGCCTGAGGCTTGTTTCAGACGTGCAGGTACACCATGTAATACCGCGGGACACTAAGTTTGGGATGAGTTTTGGGGGACGGCAGATAGCCGTGGTTTAGGAGCTGCAGAGCTAGAGGCGACTCTGAACTTCTGAGTAAATTGAAATACGATGCAGATCAGCCAACTTGTGAGGTAACTGAGATGCGTTGTGCTATAAGTCGGAAGGTACGGGGTTCCGGGACTTCCTACAAGCACGTGGCGTCATGCTTGGCACGAATCTGGAAACTCATCGGACTACCGTCGGAGCGTGAGGCATGATCTCAGCAATATGCATATGTTTGAGTCAGAAGACTTTTTCATCCTGAAGCACATGATTGAATTTGCCATGGTTTTGACAATACGCGAAATACTGGGAGTTCCAGAGGTTGGATGAAAGCCATTGAGTTGATGTTTTCATTGAACGACAAGGAGATCTTTTTATTCCACAAGAACTCCCGCTAGCAGTAGCTATGCTTATCTAATGTAATCGGACGAATATCACGTTAACATTGGCTTCTCGAGGAAGACAATGACAGAGGTGACTGGGTCAGAGAGAGTTTGGAAGTGAAGCCGACATGTCTGTCGACGTGTGCAACAAGGGTATCACGTTAATCTACTAGGCAAGCAGAACAGCGGTGACTAATGGGAACAGATGTCTATGACTCTGCTGGAGCAGGGGTCTCTGTGGGCTGGCTTGAGGCAGGAGCCTCTGCGGCCAGGGCTTGGAAGCCTTCGGTGGTGATGTTCACCGCGCCAGCTTGTACAAGCTATACACACATGTTAGAGACGGAATAAAACTTTTCGACAAAGCAAGACTTACAGCGCGGCTCAGATCATCCAAGAGATCTTCAGGGTCCTCGATACCAACACAAAGTCGGATGATGTCTTCAGGCATGTTCCTCTCCTTCCTGGTCTTCTCATCAATGCTTGCGTGACTCATACGGCAAGGCATGCTGATAAGGGAGTTGACGCAGCCAAAGCTGACACTAATGCCCCAAAGTCTAGCGCTCTCGACGATGCGTTCGCTGATAGTGACATCGCCGGTTTCGAAGGACAGCACAGCGCCAGCGCCACGTGCCATACTCCAGTGCAGATCGTACTGGGGGTGTGATTTCAAACCAGGGTAGCGGACCTTGAAGCCGTGGGATTCGAGGAATGTGGCAACACGCATAGCGTTTGCCTGTTGCTTCTCCATGCGAACACCCAGGGTCTTGATACCGCGGAGCAGCAGCCATGAATCGAAAGGCGACAGGCCACAGCCAGAAGCGTTGATAGTGAAGAAGAGTCGATCTCCAAGCGCAGAGTCGTTGATGGCAATGACACCTGCCATGAGATCGTGGTGACCCGAGAGATATTTTGTGCCAGATTCGTAAACGATATCAGAACCAAGGTCAAGCGGGTTGAGCAACATAGGCGACATCATGGTGTTGTCAACAGCGACCACTGCGGTAGGATTTGCGGCGTGAGCGATGCTGGCAATGGCAGGGATATCGCAAATCTTGATCAGAGGGTTTGTAGGTGTCTCAAGCAGAACCATGGCCGTCTTGTTGTTCACGACCTCGCGTACTTTTTCCGGATTTGTGGTATCGACGTGGTGGACTATGATGCCTCCGTGTGTCGAAAGGTACTTGAGCAATCGATTTGTTCCGCCATACAAGTCGTCGCCAGTCACTACTTCATCGCCCGGTCGTAGGAGACGAGTGATGACGTCTAGCGCACCCATGCCAGATGAGACGACAAGCGCGCGGTTCGCGTTCATGATCTTAGCAAGGTGTCTTTCGAGATGTGTTCGTGTAGGGTTGCCGGATCGTGTGTAGTCGTACTCGCCGCCGCCTCCGGTTGCGGACTCCTGTTTGAAGGTGGCCGACTACGCGTGTTAGCCCTTGACTCGATCAAGGCCGGTGACGGTGAAGTATCGCATACCTGATAGATGGGCACAGAGCTGGCATTGTACTGGTCGGTGCTCTCTGTGTAGACGAGTTCTGTCATGAGCGCATACTTCCTGCCATTGCGGGGCGAGCTCGGCGCGGGCGACGGCGGGAGGTTGTGGCCGTCAATGTCGAGCGGAATCGCAGCCTTGCCAGCGGCATTGGCCTTCTTAGAGCTCTCTCCGGCCATTGTAATGATGGTGTGTCCGCGGTGCGGACTTGGTGAAAGCCGAGTGGCGGGGTTTTACAAGTTTCGAGCTTCGCGTTGAGGCGATGACGAAACCGTTGTATGTAGAACAAAGCAAGACTCACGGCAAAGCGGTCTGGAGAATTGCGAGATTTCAGGTAATGGGTGTATGAGTATAAAGGTCAAAAGCATAAACAGATGTCATTGAAGACATGCGCACGAGTAGCTTAGCCCCATCTTGTGGGGAGTCACCGCTGGAATTGCGCCATCGAGGACAAATCGGCAGTTCTCCCTTGCTCCGAACATCGCCCGCGTGTTTTCGCCTCCGACTTGCGGACGACAGGGGGGGCCTCTACCCCAGATTGAGATAAAGAATCCACAGACAATCACCCACGAATAAGCAAAAAAGGTGCACCGGTCCAAAATACCAGGATGCTCGTGACTATTTGATATGCGGGTATACCTACTTGGACAAAATTGACATTACAGAAAAAAAAATTACCTTCCTTCCCATCAAGTACGCTGTGCGCCTGAACCTATTCGCCAAGCCAAATGCCAGACCGTCCCAGAGAGGCCTTGAAAAATGCAGGAATGTTAAACAAGAACGCAGTAAAAAAGCCATTCTGGAGCCAATGTAACGCCGGAAAGAGTCCATCATCGGGGATTGACAGCAGGAAACGACTTCCTGATATGAAGGTTCATCTTGAATTCGAAAATGCCTTCCTCTGTTGCACAATACAGAGTGCGTCCATCCTGGCTCATGGCCAGTCCCGCCGTCCGTACGCCTAGTCTGGAATCGTGCGTCGTGCGGCTTGACCCGCGTAGGCCCAGACTGAATTCATAGGATTCAAGGATGGGCTGGCCAGCACGCGTGATGCGGAGCCGCTCACGAGCCTGCGTCAATTGACGGATACGACGAAGCTCGCTGCGGAGTTCGGGTGCAGTGGGATTGCTGTCAGTGGCAGCCGCATGTGCAGTAGTGCCGCGAGTTGTAGCGCGTTGTTGTTCAGCACTAAGTGCCTCTTCAACAGTACGCCATGCTTCATCTGTCGAGGCCACTATCTCGTTGCTCACGCGACGCGCGTGTGCAGGCACCGTGTTTGGCGAACGTGTGAGAGCAGTGTCAGTAATATTGGTGAGGGTAGCAGGTGCATTGACTGTGCCTTCGTTTATTGAAACAATGACTGAAGTCCGCCGATGAGGAGTTGTCCGCTCTTGGAGCCAGTTGCGTGAGTGCGCCTGCCCAGTCCTCTCTGCCATGAAACGAGCCATAGCGTCAGCTACCTCTCGGGCAGTGGGCTCCCTACATGCTGTTAGTCAAGTCTCAGTACAGCAGTTGGGTGCATAACATACGGTACAGTGTTGAGTTGCTCAGAAGTTGTATAGTTGATACTCCGGGGCGTTATCCCCTGCCCACGGGCCTCCTGGATCTCTTCACGCTGTCTATGACTGGTCCGTAGAGCACTAAGCACCTGTCTTTCGCGTGCCGTTAAGCCAAGTGGATCGTTGTCCGACTCTACGACACCCAGCCGCCGGTGAAGTCTCTGCCGCTCTGAGTCCGCTTCGAAATACTCATTCGCAGCATTCATAGCAGCTGTGTTCCCTTCCGAATCCAAAGCACGTCGATATCCTCGGATGAAATCTGCTTCTCTGCGAAGCTCGTGCATTTCTGGGCTAAGACTGAGGTCAAAGTCGGCTATTTCGACGGTCTCGAGACCTTCTTCTTTTGGATCCAGGTTCAGAATTTGTTTGACCCTGAGACCAGCTCGCAAGTCCGCGATGCACACTCTACCTTGGTCTTCGCTCCAAACGAGGAAATCCCATGGTGCGGGTGAAAAGTGCATCGTCCGTACCGCGCCGGGCCCGGTTCGGCTGTCTGGTCTCGTGGAGCTTATCATCTGTAGGATTGCATCTTCACCATATTCGACAAGCTTCAGCAACTGGACGTCAAAAACAGTAATGTATCCGCATTCTGAGCCAACAGCACAGAGGCTTCCTGATGGTGACCAAGCTGTAGTGAAGTATCCGTCTGCATGCGAATGTGCGGGGCGGTAGAGAGTCACTTGCTTCAGTAATTCCCATGCTGGAGGTGTTGATTGTATATGCCCCTCAGGTGCCTTATTACCAGGCTTGGGTGACTTTGTGCGCTCGAAGAAGTAGCCAATAGGGGCATCGCCGACAGCTACCAACATTTGGCCATCGGGCGAGATGGCAGCGTGGTTCATTGCAAAGGGCAAGTCAAGCACCGCCAGCTCCAGATTTTGAGTCAACGAATAGACACGCACCGTCTTGTCATTGTTGGTAAGAACTGCGACGACGTCATGCTGACCCTCGCTTTCACCCGGCAGTCTGTGTATGGATATGGAGTTGACGATATCGGTTCCGATCTTCTCGAGACGTACGCGCGATGCAGCGCCTAGTAGGGGCGGTCGAGGCAGGCGGTGCTCGAAGTCCAGGGGCAACGAGGCGTCGCCACGGGACGAGTCTGTTGGAGGAAAGCCGGTCACCTGGATGGCGGCGAAGTTGCCATGTTCCTCTCCACCCACGCAGACATAGCCGTAGCCGGAAGCAGTGCAGCGCGCTTCCCAGGGCAATGTGGTGACGTGTGCCTGGGTTCGTGTGGCCGCATTGAGGCAGTAGACGGCCGCGCCGCTTGCA